CACCAAAAAAGCCTCGACTTGCTGAACGCAGCGGCGGAGGAGCTGACGGAAGCTGTGGCAGATTTCAAATCGAAGGAGCTGGCCCAACTCATTGCCCCATGTGAGTTGCGAAATGCAAAATTCATCATATCCGCGCTGGACTCATCTCGACCCGTTCTTCGTTGCAGACGCGCAGCACTTTCGCATCGGAGACGATGGGGAGCATTTTCTGACGGACGAAACTGTTCAGGACTTTTCACTTGGCTGTCGTCCGCTTCACTTGGCATTCGTCTGGGTCAAGAATCAGGAAAGGTTCGCATTGACCCTGGCTGACTTTACGAGAGAGGTGCACCACATCGCTGAGAAGCATCCGCGCAGCAAGCTTTGGTTCCCACTTTCCCTGCGCAAGTTGTGGAAAGTGGCCTTTTCGAGACATCACGGTCACACTGGAGGCATCGTGTCTGCAGGTGCTCAAGGGGTGGAAGAGCCAGCACCAGCGACGTCGTCGAGTAGCAGCTCTACCACAAGCGTCAACCATGGCGCTGACGATTCCGACGAGGAGGAAGAAGAAGCTCTGCCAGACAAGCGCGAGCTGAAGCGGCAAGAGAAGGCCAAAGCTGCAGAGCGCAAGGCCGAGGCAAAGCGCAAGCGACTGCAAGCGATACGAGATTTGGACTCCTTGCCTCCTTCGCACGTGGGCCACACCCTAGGAAGATCGCTTGCAGGCTTCTACGACTTTTTCTCCTCATCCGATGGCATGTTTGCACTTCGGTTCGTGATTGGATCGATCGCGCTCTGGGTGCCTGCGGTCCTTCCAAGCTCGGCTGGCTTTGTCTACCAGAATCGAGGTATCTGGGCGCTCATCATGTTTCAAACCGGCATGGCGAGCACGAGTGGCGAACTGTTCTTTTCGATTGCCGCCAGACTGCTTGGCACGGTTATAGGACTGCTGGCTGGCGCGGTCTGCTGGTACATTGGATCGGGAAGCGGCAACGGCAACCCATACGGGCTCGCAGCTACGATGGCAGTGGTGCTCCTACCCATCATGTTCTTCCGGCTATACGCACCACCAATCCTTCTTTTACCAACGATGATGTGCGGCGTAACAGTTGTTCTCATCGTCGGTTACAGCTGGATCGATGCGGGCCACCTGGCTGGCATCTCTGTCAACAGCGGCATCGGCATCGAGGTAGCATGGAGAAGAGGATTACTGGTCATCATTGGAATGGCAGTCTCTGTCATCATCGTCCTTTTCCCGCGTCCTCCGAGCACCAGGAAGCAGGTCAGATTGCATTTTGCAGCTTCCACAGCGTCAATTTTGGATCTCTACGAGAGTCTCATGGGCGCATTCGTGACTGTTGCGGACGGACAAGAGGATCTCGCATCGCTCGACGAGACTTTGGCATCTTTGCGGCCACGTTACGTCGGCGCGTTGGTGAGACTCAAAGGCTTGAAAGCGGCGGTCGGCATGGCCAGACTGGATCTTCAAATCCGGGGGAAATGGCCGGCAAAGAGATACGGGCAGATGCTGACTGTTCACGCTAGGCTGCTCGAATCTCTCTCCCAGCTCTTTGCCGTTCTTTCGGACACCAAAGATGACCGGGAGTGGAGGCGACGCTTCGGGAAGAGGACACCCTTCTGCAGCCCACAGATCACTCAAGACGTGATCGCGACGTTGGTGCTCGTGCAGCACGCCTTGAAGAGCGGGCGATTGATTCCACCGGGTGCCACTGGGTCCTTGTTGGACAGAGTGGTGAGCAGGTATCAGCAAGTCTTCCGGGAGCGCACCTCTTCCAATGCTTCGCGAGCTGAACAGCTCACGTTGGAACAAGTCAGAGACGATACCTATGTACTCCACATGGCTGGTGTCTCCAGCTTTTTCGCTTTCGTCGCTCGTCTC